GCGTCGACCACAGGAGGAGGCTGGGGAGCTGCCCAGGAGCTGAGCCCAGCTCCCAGTTTAATCCTGATGTGAAAGGCACGGATGAATCCCAGAAGAGGAAGAGGAAACATCAATCTGCCTCTGAGCAGGGGATGGGACTGGATTTTCTCTGGATTTTTTCTCACGACCTTTTGAGGGTTGGTTTGTTTTTATTTTTGCTGAGATTGGAGCCAGAGCTGCTTCTCAGGGCTCCAGGAATGGGAACGGGAGCAAAGCCTGGCCTAAGTAGGCTGGAACTCTCTGGGAATGCTGCATGGATTTCCCAGGGAAGCTGTGGCTGTCCCTGGACCCCTGGCAGTGCCCAGGGCCAGGCTGGATAGGTTGGGATCATGGGAGATGTCCCTGCCCATGGAATTGGATATTTAAGGTCCTTCCAGCCCAAACCATTCTGGGATTGTTCTGGGTCAGGTTTTACCCCAAATTACAGAGGAGCTGGTGGGAGTCTCCTTTCCTGCCAGGAGAGGCACACTCTGCTCCGAGAGCATGGATTGGGATGGATTGGAATGGACTGGGATGGGTTGGGATGGATTGGGATGGTTGGGATGGATTGGGATGGGTTGGGATGGGTTGGGATGGATTGGGATGGTTGGGATGGATTCCCTCCTCCACCCCAACCAGAACAATAATTATCCTGGCTGGCCTGGCTGGAAATCCCTTTGTGCAGCACAGTAGGGACAAAATCCTGGGACATCAGCTGGGGATGAGCTCCTGAATATTCCCAGCCCCAAAGCTGAGCCCTCAGCAATCCCAAAGACACATCCCAGTCCTGAAGTCCCAAATCCCTGCTCTGGCACCTCTGGGAAGGCTCAGGCTTTGGGATCAGGCCTTGAGCTCAGGCTTTGAGATCAGGATGTGAGATCAAACTTTGGGATCAGCCTTTGGGCTCAGGTTTTGGGGTCACCCTTTGGCTCACCCTTTGGGCAGCCCCACAGCTGCTTTCTCCCCCCTTGGAAGGTAAATTCCCATCCCTGTGGTTTTGGGAAGCAAACCCATCCTCCAAACCAGGAGAGTTGTGCCAGCCCCGTGTGACCCCCCCTGCCCAGCCCCAGGGGATGTCCCTTCCCCATCCCCCAGCCCTTCCCACCCCACATCCCATTCCTGGATCTGTTGAAAATCCAGGTGGAAAAATCAAGGTACAATTTCTTTCCCTCCAGCCCAGCGGAGCCTTTGGAGGTTTTGTTTCCTTTTCCAGCCTTTGCCTCACTCCTCCAATCTTCCCTCATGGCTCTGTGGGGGAAAAAGTCATTAAATACACACCTACTTCTTGCTTTTATCACTGATCTGATTATCCTGTAATTCCCTCCCCAAGCAGCAAAGGAGTGTGAACCGAGTTCTATCCAATTTCAACGGATTTGTAAATAATCTGGGAGTAGTAAAAAAAGGAAAAAGAAAAAAAAAAGAGAGGGGGTGGAAATCCTGTCTTTGTAATTTCTGCTTTTCCTTTATATTAAAATATAAGAGATTTTATTCCATGTAGCCATGCAAATCCACTTAGGGCTGCGTCCAGGATGATTCCAGGGAGGAAGGAGGGGTGGGAAGGAAGAGGGAGAGACTCGCTGCCCACCTGAGCCACTCCCAGAGCTGCCAGACTGAACGAGGCCCGGGAACATTTCCCTGCCCAAATTCCCTGCAGGGAAACAAATCACCCATGGTTCACCCCCCACTTGCAGCCAAAGGACAAGAAGTGGAATTTAGTGATTTTTTTTTTTTTGGTGGTTGGGTTTCCCTGAAGGAATTTTTAAATTTAAAATGTGGAATGTTTGCGGGGGGGGTTTCACAACAGCCCAGGCCCCACCATGGGGAAATCCAGGTGGATTCAGGGAGGCATTTCAGGACTTGGCCTTCACCCCACGCTCCTCAAGAACCCAAACCTCCACCGGGATCCCTTCCAGTTCCTCTCTGGGACTCCCTTGGCCTGGGAAGGTTTCCAGGTGACTCGGCAGTATGAGCGGGATTTATGAAATTTTTTTTTTTTTTTTTTTTTTTTTTTTGTGGTTGGGTTTCGCTGAAGGAATTTTTAAATTTAAAATGTGGAATGTTTGCGGGGGGGGTTTCACAACAGCCCAGGCCCCACCATGGGGAAATCCAGGTGGATTCAGGGAGGCATTTCAGGACTTGGCCTTCACCCCACGCTCCTCAAGAACCCAAACCTCCACCGGGATCCCTTCCAGTTCCTCTCTGGGACTCCCTTGGCCTGGGAAGGTTTCCAGGTGACTCGGCAGGTGAAGCAACACCGCAGCCCAGAGGTGGCAGCGGGGAGGAGGCAGCGGCACCTGGGGCAAGTCCTGACACGATTGGGATGGGATGGGATGGGATGGGATGGGATGGGATGGGATGGATGGGTGGATGGATGGATGGATGGATGGATGGATGGATGGATGGATGGATGGATGATGGATGGATGATGGATGGATGATGGATGGATGGATGGATGGATGGATGGATGGATGGATGGATGGATGGATGATGGATGGATGGATGGATGGGGCAGCCGGGCAGGACGAGTTCCAACCCAGGAAGAGCCAGGCAGGGCAAGGTCCCGCCCAGAGGAGCCAGGGACGACGAGTTCCAGCCCGGGAGGAGCCAAGCACGTCCTCGGGGGCAGCCCAGGGACAGCCAGGGGACACCGTGGGGCTCTTTCCCCCCGACCCCCCAAGGTGGTGGAGCTGCAGGCATCCCAGCCCGGAGGATTCCTGGGAGCTCCAGCCGCTGGTCCAGCTGGAGCAGATCCCCCCTGTCTGTGTTTGCTATAGAAACACCGAGCTCACTGAAAATAAATCATCACCGTTTTCCTGGCCCTTTTTCCCTGTGGAATCCTGCTAAACCCTCTCTGTGCTCACGTGAATTCGCTTTCTCCTTCCTCTCCTTCTCCTTGTCCTCCTCCTCCTGTTTCTACTTCTATTTCTCCCTCTCCCTCCTCTTCCTTCTCCTCCTCCTCCCTCTCCCTCTCTCACTCCTCTTCCTTCTTCTCCTCCTCCTTCTCCTCCTCCTCCTCGTTCTCTTCCTTCTCCTCCTCCTCCCCCCTCTCTTCTCCCTCCCTTCTCCTCCCCCTTCTTCTTTCTTCTCCTCCTCCTTCTCCTCCTCCTTGTTCTCTTCCTTCTCCTCCTTCATCTCCTCCTCTTCCTCCCCCTCTCTCTTCTCTGTCCCTTCTCTTCCTCCTCCTTCTTTCTTCTCCTGCACCTCCTTCTCTTCCTCCTCCTCCTCCTCCTCCTTCTCTCTCTCTCTCTCCCTCCCCTTCTTCCCTCTCCTTCTTCTCCTTCCTCTTCCTCCCTTCACTTCAGAGCTCCCAAAATATCCGACTCCAGCCGCCTGCTCTGGCTGTGGGAGCCAGCAGAGACACCGAGGGAGCTGCCAGGAAACGGCGTCAAAAAAAGCCAGGGGGTGGATCTTGTCTGCCTAGTGGCAGCGCCATAAATCACAAAAAAATCCCATAAATCCCGTAAATCCCATAAATCCCAGCCCCGCTCTCCGTGCCGGCTCCACCCCCGCAGGTCCGTTCCCTCCCGTCAGACCCCGGGAGGGGAGGGCCAGGGTTGGGGTCACACCTCCCGCCCGGTCCGGGGTGCTGGCCCGGCTCCCACCGGGGGAATGGAGCAAATCCCAGTGCTGAGATCCTTGGGATGTGCCAGAGGATGGAGATCCATGCGTGGGACACCATCCCAACTCCGTGGGACACCATCCCAACCCTGCGGGACACGATGATCCCAATCCCATGAGAAACTATCCCAGTCCCACAGGACACCATCCCAACCCTGTGGGACACCATGATCCCAACCCCACGGGACGCCATCCCAACCCCCAGGGAACACAATTATCTCGATCCCATGGAACACAATCCCAATCCTACAGAATGCCATCCCAATCCCATGGGCACCCAGCAGCCCAGTGTGAGACTGAACGGGGATCCTGGACTGGAATGGGGGATCCTGGGCTGGAGTGGGGGATCCTGGGCTGGAGTGGGGATCCTGGGCTGGAATGGGGATCCTGGGCTGGAATGGGGATCCTGGGCTGGAATGGGGGATCCTGGGGATCCTGTTCTGGCTCGGGCGATCCTCCCTCCCCGCACACCGGACCGGGCCGCAGCGCCGCCGCTCCGTGCCCGGGACAAGCCCAGATGTGGCCGGGACAAGCCCAGATGTGCCTCCAGCTGCCCGGCGGATTTCTGAGCGCTGCGTCAGCGCCCCGGCCCCGCGCGGGGCAGGCGGAAAACTCCGGGAAGGAAAACTCCGGGCAGGAAAACTCCGGGCAGGGAAACTCCGGGCAGGGAGCGGCTCCCAGGTGAGGGGAAGGAGGCGAACCCCCTCCCCAGGGGCCGGGGCGCAGGGACGGAAGGGACGTGGCAATGTCGCTGCCCCTCCAGCCCTGTTCCAGGCTGCCAGCGAGCAACGGGAACCACACGGAGCTGGAAAATCGGGAGCAGGACAGACCTCACCTGCGGCCACGCACAACCTGCCTGGGCTACAGAAATCGGGGCCCACCTGAATGGATTCAGCAGAGACGTTCGGGGCTTTCCTTTAGAGCGTCCCTGGCACTCCGGCGAGCCCAGGAGGGGTCAGGTCCCCCTGGCCCAGCAGTTCCAGCCCCCCGAGCGGGTTGCCGGGGGTCAGAGGCGCGGGGATCGTGTCCCTGCGGCGTGAGCCGGGCACAGCCCAGGCCGCGATTTTGGAGCCTCTGCTCAAAGCCCTCGCTCCGAATCCAGCAGAACAGGAACTTCAGCCTGGACCTTTCCCGGCCCTGCTGCCCCGGCTCCGTTCCCGCAGAGCTTCCCGAGGCGCCGGAGAGCCCGGCTCCACCCGCGGGCCCCTCTCCCCTCTCCCTCAGCATCCGAGAGAAAGCCCCGCTCCTGCTCCTGCCTCAGCCGGGGCCAGAGGAGGGGCCGGGGGCGCAGAGGAGGGGCCGGGGGCCGGGCACAAAGCCGGGGGCTGCGCCGGGGCGGGCCCGGTGCGCGGGCGCGGGGTCCAGGCTCCTCCTCCGCCGCCGCGCCGGGGATGCTGCGGCCGGGCCGGCTCCGGGAGCCCCGCGGAGCCCCGCGCCGCGCCGAGGAGCCAGCGGCCACCCGAGGTGGGCACGGGGGGACGCCGGGGGGCCGTGCCCGGGGGGCTCCGGGCAGGGGCACGGAGGGGACGCGCGGGGGAAGAGCCGGCCGCACCGGGGGACGCTGCCCGGGGAGCTGCGGGGACATTGACGGGACAGCGAGGGGACCCGGAGGGGCCGAGATGCGCGGTCGGGGCTCCCCACAGTGCGGTGGCTTTGGGGTGACCCCCCCCCGGTGGGCACGGCCGCCCCGGGGGTGCCCCGCGCCGGCCCGGCTCTGTGGGGACGGGGCTCGGGGCTCCGGGACAGGGCTCGGGCTCGGTGACAAAGAGTCAGGATCGCCCCGGGAGAGCGCCTGGGCTCGCCCCCGTTGCCGGCTCCCATCCCTTTGGCCGCCCGGAGCCGCCCGCGGCTCCCCCGGGGCTCAGCTCTGGCTTTTCGCTTCCCTCTGAAGTCTGGAAAACTTCTTTTCACAAGGCAGCGAGAAAATTCTGCCTGTTCAGCACCTCGGTGCGGGCTGCCTCGGGTTACAGAGCCCCGCACTGCCGGGAAGGAGGGGAAGGAAGGGAAGGAGCGGATGCCTTTGGTTTGTTGTCATCAGCTCGGAGCCATCCCGGCAAGGGGCTGCCTGCTCCTGCAGGAATTCTTCGCCGCTGGAGCTGCGCGGGCAGGGCCGGGTGCGTGGGAGGGGAGGAAGGAGCGCGGGGGCCGCGGGCAGCGGAGACCCCTGCGGGAAATGCCAACCGCACCTGGATGGATGCGGCAGCCCCGTCCCGCCGCCTCTGCCGGGGGCCCGGCCTTTCCCGGGGCTGCCCCCGCTCCGGGCCGGGCTCTGCAGCCCGGGGAAGGCGTGGGAGGGAGGTCAGAGCTGCCCCGAGGCCGCGCAGCTCCCGCGGGTGCCAGCGCAGCTCCTGGAAAGCCGGGGATTAATCTCGCTTGGAAAAGCGGCGCTGGAGCGCTGCCACGGCCGGAGTCAGCGCGGGGCTGTCACCGCTCACCCGGTGACACGCAGTGCTCGTGGACGGATCCGCACGGGGACGGGTCCTGGCAGGTCCTGGCAGGCGACATTCCCGTCGCTGCTGAGCCACCTGAGCCGTGTTTGCTCTGTGACATCTCCGGAGGGCCCTGGGCTCTCCCTCCTGCTCCAGGGGTCTCTCCCACAGGACAGGACCCCCTGGTGTGGCAGGAGGGTCCCGCACCCACGAGAGGGCCCGGGGGTCGTGTGGGACCCCCAGTGCTGATCCCCTCCCCCACAAGGGATGTGTCCCCATCCCTCGGTCCCGGCTGCAGGGGTGGCACAGCTGCATCCCTGTCTCCCGGGGAGCTGGGCTTGGGGTCCTGCTGTCCCCTTCTGCCACCCCCGCCCCCTCCGTGCCTGCCCTGTCCAGCCGTGCCCAGCCCTGGGCACGCCCTTGGCCCGAGGGGTTTCTGTGTGTGTCCCGTGCTCCCGTGACCCTTCCCGAGACCCCGTGGGCCTCGGGCAGCCAGGAGGGAGCAGCGCCGGCCCCATTTTTTGGGAGCAGGCCCGTGCGTTTCCCCCATGGCTGCCCAAACCCTCCCCAGAGCTCCTCTTCCTCACCCGAGGCTGCGGCGAGCGGAAAAGCAGGGAAAAAAAACTCCCCCACCCTCAACCAGAGACTGATTTACCTTCCCTGGGAAGATCGGCCAGGGATTCCTGGGCAGCCCAGCCTCCCACGCCAGTGTCACACTCTGTCCCCTGCGTGTGTCCAGCTCAGCTCTGTGCCCCCAGCCAGGCATTTCCAGTGTCACACTCTGTCCCTTGCGTGTGTCCAGCTCATCTCCGCGCCCACCAGCCAGGTTTTCCCAGGGCTGCGAAGCCGCTCCGCCCGGGTCATTAATTACCAGGGCCATTAATGAGCGGCACAAAGAGCTGAAAGTGCGAAATCCTCGCAATCGGCGTTGGGGGGCAATTAATGGCAGCTGCAAAAGCGCACTCAGCCGCACAACCGCGGCTCCGGGGATGCTCCCCGGCCCCCGGAGCCCCCGGGTGAGCCCTGCGTGCCCGGGTGAGCCCTGCCCGGCACGGCGGGGCCGCTGAACGGGGCCGGGGCCGCTCCGTCCCTCCCACCCGTTAGTCACCGCTCCTGGCAGGCAGCGCTGCCGAGGCGGGGAGGCGAAGGCAGGCGAGGCTCAGGCAGCAAAATGAGAGCTCCAGAGCAGCCCAGCGCCCCTGCAGAGCCCCAGCAGAGCCCCCCGGCCCTGGGGGCTGCCAGGGCAGCGCCCCCGTGCCCAGGCGTGCAGGGCAGGAGGGGCAGCGGGATGCGCTCCGCTGTGGAGGGGACAGGGATCTGTGCCAGGGAGCTGCCGCTCCTCCTGCACCCCTCGCTCCGTCCTCGGCCCCAAATCCCTCTTTTCCCTCTCTCGGAAAGGCTCTGTCTGCAGCGGGCAGGTCCAGTCACGCTCAGGTGAGGCTCAGGTGAGGCATCCGCGGCACGCAGAGATGGGCAGCACAGAGCAGCAGGGCCCGGCCGGGGCAGGAATCTGATCCTTGGGACCATCCCAGAAATCCCTGAGAGCCAGAGCCGAGCTCCAGGGGCCCTTCCCGGGACACCGAGTCACCCAGGGCCACCGGCAGAGCTCGGTGCCCGCGCTGCGTGGCCAAGTGTGAAACCGTAGTAGCACTGCAGCTATTCCGGGAGCTGCTGCTAAACCTGCTGCAAAACCTGCTGCTAAAACTGCTGCTGAAACTGCTCCTGGAGCAGCCCAGCCTGGCAGGGACACGGCTGTGGCCCCGCGTGGCTCCGTGGCAGAGCCGTGGGACCTCCGGCCTCTCCATCAGGGAAAGCTCAGCCCTGACAGGAAATTTGGATGGGTTTTTTTCCTGTCCCCTGAGCACTGCCTGGCGTGGTTATAAATATCCTCTCTCCTGGGAGGCCCCAAATCCACCCCCTGCCTGATTTATTCGGTGTTCCTCGCTCACCAGCTGCCCTTGGGGGGATTTTTCCAGGAGCTGCAGGGAAGGAGCAAGGCCGGGAGCAGGAGCCCCAGGCAGGGTTTCCATTTGGGATTAGTTAAAAATAGCAGGGAATGCACAAAGATTCCGCACGTGGCTCACGGAGGCCTTCCCTGCTGCCGGGGTTTTGTGCTGCTCCCCTGGCTGGGAGAAGCCCCTGTGAGCAGGAAGGGCCAAGGAATTCCTGGGTTTTTGTGGGAAGCCCTGAGTGCTCCCAGGCGTGGCCGTTCCCTGGGTTTGGGGAGCCAAATCCTGCCCAAGCAGCGCTGGGGTTCCTGCAGCAGCACCCCTGCAGCATTCCCAGCCAGACCTTCCTCTTCTTCCTCTTCCTCACAGCCAGGGCTTCTCCCCCTGGGCTGAAATATTCCCATTTATCCTCTCCTCGTGGCAGCAGCAGCGGAGGCAGCTCCTGCCTGAAGGGAGTTTTTATCATTTCTGGGAGAGCCTCGTCCCTGAGCTCTGGCTTTGGGAGGTGGGAGGATCCTCCGAGGCCTGGGAGAGGGAGAGGAGGCAGCTGGGAGATCCTGGGAAAGGAAAACCTCCCAAAAATCCTTGCTGCCATCCCAGGGTGTCCTCTCCGAGCTCTCCCAGCTCTCCTGGCTGCAGGGCTGTGGATTTGGGCCCTTGCCCAAGCCAAGGTCAGAGGTTCCAGCTCAGGATCCAGGAACATTTGGATCTTTAAATGCCCCTTTTTCCATCTCCTCCTGCTCCTCCCAATTTTCGGAACAATCCAGTGACATCTCCGTGAGCCACTTAGGGAAGAGCTCCTTTAAAGGTTAATTAAATATTCCCCGCAACTTTGATGCACATTTCCCTGTTGGGAGAGCTGCTCTATTTGGCAGCCAGGCATTAAAGGGGTGGATTTCACCACGGGCCAAGTCTGGGAAAGAGAGGAAAATAGGAAGCAAGAACTGAATTTGCCTTTTTTCCCCCCTCCTTCTGCTGCTGCATTGGAGCATTGGGAAGGGATGTGACACTCTGGGAAGCAGGAGAGGAGCTGGGGATGAGGAGACAGCGGCAGCAGATGCTCCTCACAGCGAGGACAGAGCTTGGCTCCTCACCAACGAGCAGGAGTTGCCTTTGCTCAGCTCTGAGCGCCAGGCAGGGACAAAAATCCCCAAATTGAGACGAGCTGGGTGCAACTGGTACCACAGACAGGGAAGGGCAGCGCAGGAGGAATCACAGCAAAGCCCAGCCTGGAGCTGGCGCTGGGTTTGGTTTGAGGAGGATCTTTAGGCCCTGCCTGGCCGAGGTTTCTCTCTGGCTCTCTCAGTTTCCTCAGAGATTTGGGGCTTTCAGCTGCTGCCAGGGCCATTGACTCCCCCTCCCGTTCCTCAGGCAGTGTCCAGCCCTTGGCTAGAGGAAAAAGCCCCAACCCAGCCCAATTCCAGCCCTTGTCCCCCTTCCTGGCTGTCCCCAGGGCGCAGCAAGGAGGGGACAGCAGAGGGTGGCCCCGTGCCCCTCACGGTGCCCACCTGAGCCCAGCAAGCCCAAATTTGCTTTATGGTGCCCAAAGTGGCCCTGAGAGGGGGTGAAGGAGCAGAGAGGGTGCCCAGGGGGGGTGGGCTGGCTGCTGTGGCCACCAGGAGCAGGGGGGGCAGTGCCAGGGGGGGCAATGCCAGCGAGGCAATGCCAGCCCCGCTGCTCCTGCCTGCTTTTCAGCCGCTCGGGAGAGGGGGAGAGACAATAAAAGGCGCGGGGATTGCAAACACAGCCCGGTCTCCATGGCAGCCTGAGCACCGCTGCTAAATTTTGCCTGTACATGGAGAGGATGCTGCTCCCCTCCTGTGCCAGGGGGAGTTGTGCAGCACAAAGAGCCTCGGCCCAGGTATTTCCCGCAGCTTTTGGGCAGCTGGGTGCCTCGTGGAAGGAGCCCTCGAAGGGGTTTGCTGTCCCTCATCCCGGTTTCATCCATAATTCAGGGCCGAAGCCACGTGAGCAGCCGGTGGAAGCGGCAAGCTGGGAGGAGAAGTATTTCGGGCTCATGCCGAGTTACAGCGAGTTCCTGCTATTTTTAGCCGGACAGACAAAGCTTTCCCACCAGGCAGAGCCC